AGGGTGAGGCCAGGCTTGGGCTGGCTTGGGGGCTGGGTTATTCTTAGCCAGAGGAGGTCTGCAGGGGGAAGGTGAGGCGGGTTCCAGGGCCCACCCCATGACACAGCTGAGCTCTGTGCTGCAAAGGAGAGCTGGGGACAGAAAGATGGATGGGGTATGTCTGGAAAAAGGACCCCACAACCAGGGATTCCCACAGCCCCGTCCCCACATGGATCCATCCACCCACCTGTCCATCCATTCATCCCGACAAAGATCCACCCACCTACCTGTCCATCCATCCATCCATCCATCCCGACACAGACCCCCCCACCTACCTGTCCATCCATCCATCCGCACACGGCTCCTCCCACCCACCTGTCCATCCCCACACAAGTCCCCCTCCCCTGTCCATCCATCCCCACACAGACTATCCACAAACTCATCCACCAACCGCTCCCACTTCCCACTCCTGTATAACCCTTTACACACGGCCGACCAGTCGGCCGGCCTTCCACGTATACACCCATCTACCCACAACTCTAACCTTCCACCTGACTCCACCCCCAAGCTATTTATCCACTGATTCCCTGGTGACCATATTACGGCGGCTGGGATTTCTCTCTCTGGGAACATGCTGGCCCCGTGGCCAGTGTCCTCGCTGAGCTCCAGGGAAAAGAGCTAAAGAGGAAGGGGCCGGCGTCCTGGGGGCAGCCGCTGACCTGTGGTGGCGTTGGTGGAGACGGGGCCCAGGCGCTTGCGGCCAGACACGCCGTAGAGGTTGATCTTGTATCGGTGGGAAGGCGCCAGGTCGTGGAGGTGGAGGGAGCGCAGGGCGCCATCTACGGGCAGGGCCCGGGGGTTGCCATCTGCGTCGCGGTATTGGACGATGAAGGAGTCGAAGGTCCCTTCCTCCACAGTCCAGGAAAGGTCGAGGGAGTCGTGGGCTGCGTTGGCTGCTGAGAGCTTCCCCAGGCGCAGCTGCGTCCTGACTTCCTCCTGTGGCGCCGTGGCTGGAAAAGAGATGGGGGTGAAGCGTGCGGCCACTTGCTGAGTCCATCAAGGCACAATGAGCCACAGAGAGCAGGGACAGGGGGCGCCGGGAGCTCCTACCCCATAACCCATGGACTTGGCAGGGGGTGAAGAGTTAACCAGTGAGGCCACAAGGCAGCAAAAATGAGAGATGGGACCTAGAGACAGAGCATGGTGCCCCTCAGTGTATCCTGGATGGATGGATGGACAGTCCAGATGGGGTATGTCTACACTAGCCCCCTAGGTCGAACTAGGGAGGCTAATGAAGATGACCAAAATTGCAAATGAAGCGCAGGATTTAAATATCCCTTCATTAGCATGTTCCTGGCTGGTCGCCATTTTAGAAATTGACTAGCCTGGAAGAACTGCCCGCGTCTACATGCGGCAGAGAAGGGCGATTCTGAAATAAACCCCTTACTTCGAATTACCAGTTAAACTTCATTCCAGGGATGGATGGATGGATGGATGGATGGATCTGTCCAGTCACAAACCATCTGTCCATCCACACACCCGCTCACCCGTCCATCCACCCACTCACCCATCCAACCAGTCACCCACTTTCCTGTCCATCTATCCATCTTCCCACCCATCTACCCACACATACATCCACCCACCCATCCATATTTTAAGCCACCCACCCACCCATAAGTCCATCCATTCATACACCCACCCATCCATCTGTCTGTCCGTCTGTCCGTCTGTCCATCCATTGGTCTGTCCACCCATGCACCCATACATCCTTCCATACATCCGTCCACCCAACCATCCATCCATCCACCAACCCACCTACTCACTAAACCATTCATCCATCCATCCCTTCACCTACCTACCCACCTGTCCATCCATTCAACCACCCTCTGATACACCTCTATGCAGACATCTTAACACATAACTTCCTCTGCCACTGTGCAACAGGAAAGGGTGCACAAAGGGTCCCGGGGGCAGCCGCTGACCTGTGGTGGCGTCGGTGGAGAGGGGGCCCAGGCGCTTGCGGCCGGACACGCCGTAGAGGTTGAACTTGTATCGACGGGAAGGCGCCAGGTTGGGGACAGTGACCGTGCGGGATGCCCCGTCCACGCGCAGCGCCTGGGGCTGGCCCTCCGCGTCCTTGTACTGGAGGAGGAAGGAGTCGAAGTCCCCGGCCGGGACGGTCCAGGAGAGCAGGACGGAGTCGTGGGTGACGTCGGAGGCTGAGAGCTCCCCCAGGCTGGGATGGGGGGTGGGTTCCTCCTGTGGCTCCGCGGCTGGAACAGAGAGAGGGTGAATGGTGAGGCCAAGGTTGGGGGGTGGCTTTCCGGGCTGGCTTGGGGGCTGGGTTATTCTTAGCCAGAGGAGGTCTGCAGGGGGAAGGTGAGGTGGGTTCCTGGGCCCACCCCATGGCACAGCTGAGCTCTGTGCTGCAAAGGAGAGCTGGGGACAGAAAGAAGGATGGGGTATGTCTGGAAAAAGGACCCCACAACCGGGGATTCCCACAGCCACGTCCCAACACGGATCCACCCGCCCACCTGTCCATCCATCCACCCATCTCGACACAGATCCACTCGCCCACCTGTCCAACCATCCATCCATCCATCCCGACACAGATCCACCCACCTACCTGTCCATCCATCCATCCGCACACGGCTCCTCCCACCCACCTGTCCATCCCCACACAAGTCCCCCTCCCCTGTCCATCCATCCCCACACAGACTATCCACAAACTCATCCACCAACCGCTCCCACTTCCCACTCCTGTATAACCCTTTACACACGGCCGGCCAGTCGGCCGGCCTTCCACGTATACACCCATCTACCCACAACTCTAACCTTCCCTCTGACTCCACCCCCAAGCTATTTATCCACTGATTCCCTGGTGACCATATTACGGCGGCTGGGATTTCTCTCTCTGGGAACATGCTGGCCCCGTGGCCAGTGTCCTCGCTGAGCTCCAGGGAAAAGAGCTAAAGAGGAAGGGGCCGGCGTCCCGGGAGCAGCCGCTGACCTGTGGTGGCGTCGGTGGAGAGGGGGCCCAGGCGCTTGCGGCCGGACACGCCGTAGAGGTTGAACTTGTACCGGCGGGAAGGCGCCAGGTTGGGGACGGTGACCGTGCGGGATCCTCCGTCCACGGGCAGCGCCTGGGGCTTGCCCTCCGCGTCCTTGTACTGGAGGAGGAAGGAGTCGAAGTCCCCGGCCGGGACGGTCCAGGAGAGCAGGACGGAGTCGTGGGTGACGTCAGAGGCCGAGAGCTCCCCCAGGCTGGGCTCCCGGGGCGCTGGGGCTGGAACAGAGAGAGGAGTGTGACGGGTGCAGCCGGGGTGGGGGCGGCGACATGCCCTGTCACGTCCATCTCACCAGGCATCCATGATCAGACCCATCACAGCCCCTCCAGCTGCCTCCTGGCACCAGGGTCACCCCCACACGAGTGACCCCCATCACCCCACAGCTGGTTCCACCTTCTCCATCCATCCTTACACATCCCACAGCTCCACCTGTCCACCCCTCCCATCCACCGCACAATCCTAGAGCACTGGGACTGGCAGGGATCCTGAGAGGTCATCGAGTCCGGTCCCCTGCCCTCACGGCAGGGCCCAGCACTGTCTAGACCACCCCTGACCGGAGTCTGTCCAACCTGCTCTGCAATATCTCCAGGGATGGAGACTCCACAACCCCCCCCCCCCCCACGGCCATTTTTTCC